CCTTAATAGGATCTCACCACCCCATGACACCTCCTCCCCAGTCTTTCCGCCATCAAGGATCACAGGCACACACCAAGGCACACCTAGTGTGTTCAGGCAGACCTAGGATACAAATCCAGGCCTTCCCAGATGGCTCCAGTATCATGCAGTGGTGCTCTACCACCTGTACCACTGTGGCTGGGCCCCTTTTTGCACTTCTGATAAAAGGCAGCTCCACTTCAATCTCTGGCTGAATGATACATGCTTAGTGGTTTTGTCTTTGAGAAATAAATTATCCATTTTGAAATTAACAAGCATTTTTTCCCCAGAGGTATAAAACAGAAGCTTAGCATGGATTCCTCATATACTACAAATTATCTCACTGTATTGTCTGGTATGTGACCTCTTCTAGAGGGACTCACAGCCACCAAGCCAAGGGACAGCAACATTAGTCAAATGTTCCCTCCTCTCCTAGGGGATCACACACAGGTGCATAAGAGAGTCTTTGCATCATGAAGGAACACACACTGGACATTATTATAATTATTTTAGTTTCTCCAAAGAGTCCCAAGAGATTTTTTTGAAATATAGCATACGTCACAATAAACTTAGAAGTGCAAAAAAAAAGATGTAACATAGGCATTTGTCTTCTTTGCCACATTATGTAGTCGGAGATAGACTCTTCCATCAGGACAATGAAAAAGTGCACTCAGGCAAGATGCTTTTTTAAGCATCAAGATGAGAACATTTTTGGTTGGTGCTTCTTTGCCTGATACTCATTTTGGGAAGAAAGCAAATTGAGGCTATTGGGTTGAATATAGAGCAAAATACTGAAATCCATAGGAATCAGTCATGTAAAATATAGAAGATAGTAATAAAGGACTTTCTTAGCTAGTGCTTTCATGACATTAAAATATTGTGGAATTTTGTGCTAACCTGAGAATCAATTTATTGTACACCCCTTATAAATCTTCTGCTCATATCACAGTATTTATAAAAAAGAATCTAAGGAAAAAAAGAGCAAAGTATAAACTTTATTCGACGATTCCTTGGGTTATGCAACACAAAGATGTATACGCTATTGAGAGCAAGGGGCTATGACAGAGACCACAAATGAGAAACAGAAGAAAGCACAACCTCAATTCAAGAAAATTCAGAGACATAAAACCTACGGCAAGTGTCTAAAGAATCTGGCCATCAACTTCTGGCCCGTGCAACTAATCAAAGGTTATCACATGCACCGCCCTAACTGTTTATTGGTTAATTTTGTCTGAGGTGGGCCAGCCTCATCTAGGGCCAGCAATATCATGATGTTTAAAAATCACAGAGAAGTGCTCTAAGGAATGTTCCTTTACAAATGGCTAGAAACATTGGAAGGCTGAGGACATGAGCCATCAATGGGAATTTGGGAATGTATTCAAGTTGACTATCAACTCTGACTTCCAGAGGCTCCACCTTTAGAAACGAATGGCTCTTCAAGTATTAAAATGAGGGTTGAATGTACATTATAACTAATAGTACTTGAGATGAAAGTAAATGACCCAGCATCCCCCTCCCAGGTACCAAGAGGGGTCAAATTTCTCATTTATCAGCAAGTCTTCAGGGTAGGCCAGCATCTCAATCTCAGACTCTCTTCTGTGGCTGCTCCTTGGATGGCTGAGGGGAACACTTCAAAAATGAACCAGCTAAACAAACTTCCCAGCAGCACTTGACAGAGCTACACCTATTCTTCCCATTTCCAAAGCAGTGGAGAATTAATTCCCAGTTCTATGGATCTATTGTAAGTATAATAGACTAAAGAGCTATCACAGACACATTTATTGTAAAAGCACAATCCCAAGAGTGTCTAGTGGAGGGCCAAAACGATTAACACAAATGCTTTGTCAGATCAAAGATAAAACCTGCACCGCCCAATTGAGGAATGAATTAGAACAGTGGGTTATCTTTCAAATTAACCAGGGCAGTTAGTGAGGAAAATTTCATGAAAGTGTAATTCTTAGCCTTTGTGAATCCACACAGCAGGCATTCTGCCAGCTGACAAGATGATGAAATTTTCATGCTTAAAAAAAGCCCTCTTCATTTCCCAATTTAGATTAGCTAGTGTTTCTCTCCCTTTTTGTGTGTGTGTCTATTTGCTCTTCTGGAACAGAATTTAAGGGGAGGGGGAATACATATCAATTTTTCACTGTAAAATTGAGTCTTTCAAAAACATCCCTAAAAGCTTAGAGATATAGTCTTTAAACTGACTTTTTATTATTTTCAAAAATACCAGTTGGATTTTAACAGAGGAACCAGCAAGGACCAAGGCATGAAATCAACTCTGAATTAAGGCTTTCTACACTACCTCAGAGTCTTTTGACACTTCATCTAATCTCAAGATAAAGCATAGAACGGTTTTCCTCCTAAAGAAATTAACATATGACTTAAAATATCCTTCCTCAGTACTTTTTATGTTTCTATGTGTATATTGATATTTAAGTGTTCTAAGAGATGAGAATTCAAAGGATATAATCATCGCTATATGTCACAGGGGAGGGGGAGGGTATCCCCCGATTAGTGAAGGCAGTAATGAAATATGATGACATGATATTGATTATCAGATACATAAACTTTCAGAAATGTTATATCACATTTATTTATTCAGTCCTATTAGGTCGTTGGGAAAGTCATGAGGTATTTTTCTGTTTTTCTAGGCAAAAATGTGTCATGACTTTCCCGATGACCCAATATTTATTCATGACAGAAGATAACAGAATATGTGATGTATTTCTCCAAAATTAAAGTGATTTAGAAGTATACTTTGCTACTCTAAATGTCCGTCTTTTTTTCTTGACAACCTGATTTCCTAGTGATCTAAAACTGATTCTTGGTAGGTTATAGTATTTGGTCAAGTACCACATGCCTTTCTTATGGAAATGCCTTCCTTTCTCTGTGTAGGTTGAGTTCCTCCTGCAGTGACTTTAAGACTACAAAATTTTTTTTTTTTAAAATGAGATTCTGGACCTCTGTCCACAAAGTTATATAACCAGTGGGTAGAATTTTTTATGTTACAGAATAGGAGGAAACCACTTTAGTAGTAGCTTCAGAGAACAGTCACTTAACCTCAGTACTTACTCTCAATATCCTTGCATCCAGTATACTTGCTGTATAGGCTTCAAGGTGGATTATTACCATCATGATATATCACACTGAACTAAGTATAATCAGTACCACTTGAGACATAATAACCAAAGAGACTCAATCCCATGTCCTTCTACAGACAAAAGTTCCTTAAAGTCTAGGAAACAGGAAGAAAAAGAACACTCTACCAATGAAGCAGAACCTAGAGGTGCATGTATTTTTTACATAAAAGCTCTGATACTCAAAATATCTAAAATATTTGTTCTGCATAGAACCATGAAAAGAACAAATAATGGATTTCTTTTTCTTTTGTCCAATCACATATGATGAAGATCAAAAAGTAGAGAAATAAGCCTCTAATTTTGAAGATAGTCATATCAATCTTCAAACTCAGGAGTGACATTTGGCTATTTTGATTAGAAATCCCACAGAAAAGTCAATCAAGTGGGTAGTTAACTACAGGAAAACCAATACTTGCTGTTAGTGAGATGCCTGGCAGAGAAGACAATTAAAGCAAACACTCTAGGAACACTGTGTTAGATCTGTATCCCTAAAAGTAGGTTGTTTAGCTTAAAACCAAACACTTACATAACCACCACACACACACACACACACACACACACACACACACACACAGAGGTTAGAAATCAAACTTTTAATTAGGGCACATTTCTAAATACTCAGAAGATCATTTTTCTGCCTATTCTCAACTTAGTCAAAACAGATTGTTCTTTTATACAAAAGAAAATAGATGAGTTTCCTCCAGTAGTAATATTCCCATGGTGATGATTTTCATAGACTAAACACAGAGAAAAAACTCAGAATTCTTCCCAAGAGTCAAGAATTATACATTGCTCAATGAGGCCTGTAAATGAGGAGCTGAATAGTTTTGATTTTGGCTCTTCATGCTAAATCAAGGCCTAACATTTCATGTACTGAACATTTCATCTTCCATGGAATGTGACCCTACAGATAACCTTTATTCCCACCCAACTGTTCATTAAGTGCAGCACATAATTATTCACTAACATGTTTCAGATTTTCCCAAAATGTAGTCAAAATTATTATTTTTTAAAATCTTCCCATAAACCTACTTGCACTTTTGACAAATACAAATCATTTTACACCAAATTCACAACTGTATGTTTTAACTCTTCATCCTGTAATACTCATTTTTTTTTTTTTTTACATATGATATCTATGTTAAAGAAGAAGATGCTATGTTACTAACATAGGAGTAGGATACTGATAAAAGTCATAGGTCTTACCTACTAGAATCTGAGCAAATATTTTGGGAAACACCTTGCCACTACAGCTTTTTCAAGGAAGTTACAGTGAACTTTCAAGTAACAGAAAACATGTTTAGATGATAAATGACAATATTTATAAAAATTAGACATTCTGCAAAATCCAAGACAAATTGCACTTAAATTTAAAAGATATTTTTATTTCCTCACAAAAATAGCCTCAGACTGTCACATATACACTTAGTATTAGCTAGTGGACAGTTTATTAAAATCACCACAGACAATTTTATGGCTCTACTTGCCAAAACAGGCAGTTCTATTTTCCCCTCTGCCCAAAGATCTAAGTGACCATTTAGTCTTATTTAAGTGACAATAAACTAAAACATTTCCTGATTATCGCCTCACTTCTCCTTAAAAGCAAAATTTTCTTTATTAAAATATTGCTCATTAATAAAAGAGGTGTAATGCCCAAAAGAAAATCAAATCATTTGTCATGCTAATATGCCAAAATTACACACTTTATCATATTTGTAGCAACAGCACTTTGCCAGGAATTTTCCCCAAAGTCTTTCAAAATTCTGCAGTTTTATGAAAACCAACAGAACAAGTACGGAACATCAATAAGTATGTAAAAAACTCATTATGGATACTTACATCATAGTACTTTTTAATACAACGTCTAATGTCCACGATCAATTTGTTGTTCAGCTGTACCATAAAGGCCAGAGGTGAAGCCTTACAATCGATGTTACTACAACGATACAAGCTGGGTTCCATATCAGTTCCCTATAGAAGTCAGGATAGACAAGCACACAAAAGGTTACTGCGAGGTTTTAAAAGGTGTGCATGTGTGTGTGCGTGTGTGCGTTTAAAATATTACATGCTTTTCTGTTGTACAATATTCTTAATCTATTTTATTGGTGAGTTTCTAAATCCCATTTTCACAACGACTTTCCTCCCAAAGACTCCTTTAGTCATGTAAACCTTCCACTCTTTTGCCATCATCATAATGAAGTATAAAGTTGAAGGGAAAACCCTGAAATCACTATTTCACATTCAATCCTGACAGACTCTATTGATAAAATCATTCTTCCTCTTTAAATACCAGTGAAGTCATATTATTGGAAATAAACATTCTTCTTAGAGAAAGTGATCAAAATTTTAAAACTGTACTTATTCATTCCAAACTTGAAGACAAAGTAAGAACCTTTATGACTTTGGTTTGCCTTCCATCTTTTCAACTTAATTTTAAGAATAAAGCCTAGAAATGAAAAGTGTTGCACCGCAAAAGGAATATCTTGCCAACTTAGCAGATCTAAAATTCCTGCAATTTCCCCACATAATCAAATGTATTTGGGGTAGGGGAAGCAGGAGTAGAAATGTAAAAGAATCAACTATTAGTAGTTGGAGAAAATGCTTTGTTTTGTTGTGTTTTGTTTTAAACAAATACAAACCAAATATAATATATAGGAAAACTGTTGGGGTTTCTATAGCATTTGTTTTCCTTCGGGATACTTAAACATCTTGGTTTCCCCCGCTCCAATCTGGTACATAACCCTATGCGCCACACTAAGCAATTCCAGGTGGAAGAGATTTTAGAGCTTGACATCGGCTCTTCCACAGTTAGCCCATCTGCAAGTCGTCAAGCTTCATGCAATTAACTATCTTATTTACAGCTGTAATGAAGCAAAACTCAAGGATTTAGCAAGTATTGCTGATCTGTGTCTGCCTCTTCCTAGCACTTGCTTCCAAAGACTGCTTTGTTTTGATTCAAAAAAATGCAAAACATCTGCTGTTTGTCCAAATTAACTTAAAATAATTACTTTTAATTTAGATAAAGGATGTCTTTTCTTTCAGTTTCAAGGTTTTACACAGTTCTGCTGCCTACTCTTTTGCCAATGGCCAGTACATGTATAACACTGCAGTGGAAGCAAGTAAATTGGCTAAGTTTCAAGTTCTGATCCAAGGTCAATGATACATTTTTTGGCAGTATTTCTGGCAAGGAATGTCTCCCTGTGACTTTTTAAATGTCTGATATGCAAAGACAGCAGAAAAGATAATAAGAGTACCTTTGTCAAAAAGGAGGTAACTGGGATGGGTAAAGATAAACAAGAACTTTCCCAAAACACTCAGTTCCCATTAAGTTGATTTAAGATAAAGGAAAATATTGCTGTATTAATAAATGGGGGTTAGGAGTGGAGAAATACAGGTTACTAATTAAGGAATTACAATAAAAAATACTTTAAGGTAATTTAGAATTTTTAAGAGATTCCATTTAAAAACCAAGGTCAGGCATTCTAGGGAGCCAAAAACAATATTCAAACACATTCGATTAGGAGTTTTTGAAAAGAAAATAAGTTGTGAGGGCAGAATTCATATAATACTAAAATTCTTGAAACACATGAAAGCTGGTTTAAGGTTTCCCCCCCTTTTTATATACCCTATAGTGGCAGTGGGGGAGGGGGTTGTACTAGTTTGCTTACAAAATTAAAGAAACAAAAAGAAACAACTAACCAAGCCATCTAAGACATTATCATAAATATTCTCGGTCCCACATGCAGGGCATGGACATTTTAATTTCTCACAGTCCTTGTATTTCTCTTCATCAGTGAGCTGTGCTGGGCCACCCAGGACAGTATCATTCTCTTCATCTTTATGATAATGATGAACTCTAAATTGGGTGGGGTCAAGTCCTATTAATAGAAAAGAAAACAAATTCAGAAAAATATCAACATTTAAAAATGCCCAAACAAGAAACCTCTCGCAAAAGAATGATTTTAAATTCATACACACATGTGCACGTGCAATCATTTGAACTCAAGATCACTCGGACAAATGACTTTGCTTTTTACAAGAGATTACTTTATAAATAAAACAAGTAACCACAACAAAGCAATGTAGAAATATGTATGTTCGAGTTTGGGAGCAACTACTTCTATAGGATTTTTAAAAAATATTTTTCTTAAAGTTACAGTGAAAAACTTCAAATAAATGTGCAGTTATTAAGAAACACTCTTAAAATCAAAGTGTCTCCATTAAAACTGAAAACAGAGAATACAAATCCCATTAAAGAAAACACGTTCACTGCCATTACAACTCCTTCAAGTGCAGGCACAACTGCTAACCCTGATTTCAATGCGGTGGTCGATTTCATCTTGGCTCAGTAGTTAACAGCATGTAGGTTGCAATCTAATTCAGTGGTTAAAATTCAGTAGCAACATCTGAGACAAAATGCAACATGGTTTGTTCCTGGTGTTCAGAATTCAGAAATTTAAAATATGTGCAAAAACAATGGATCTAAAGATTCACAGGCTAAAACATTTTGAAACCATACCATCCATATATCAATCAAAACAACACAAGAAATTAATTGATACCTGGTTTACGTAGTTTCCACAAACTACTTAAATAAAAGAAACGTTTTTGAGCCAACCAATTTAATTTATCCTTAATCAAAGCTTACCTGTCAAAATCTCCTATATGAATTTTAATTCTTAGAGGTAATTTCACACTATGTTTTATAATATTTTCTTAAAAGCATCCCTTAGCAATGCCTAAAATCCTAGGCTTTTGAATCTAAGGAAAACCATCACATGTATCTTACTACAAAAGAACTAAATAAGTAATACAAAACAGCACTGAACAAAAAAGTTCACAAATTAACAAAAGTATCTAAAAATGATTTTAAACCTATCAATGGCTGCAAAGGTAGATAACCATATATACACACTCAGAATTAAGTGACAAAATCCTATTTAGTCAGTGGTCAAGTGACATCTAGTAACTCTCAAATACTCAAGGCAGACTCTTTCACAGTGAAAATGTGCTGAACAAAGAATAATATGACTGAGACTCCATGTTTTGGTTTTAAAACCTCAGTTTTTCACTATCTGTAAAATGGAAGTCAGATCACTGACCATAGAGTTTTGAAGTTTAAATTAGATAATAAATGATGAACCGAGTTCATTGGTGCCTATTGTATGGGAAGTCATCGATAAATGTCATTTGAGTGAAAAAGTAAAATAGCAACTGAACGTCATTTAATCCAGACTATATTCACTCAAGATTATGTGTTTAGAAAAACCTATAAAACACACGCTCATGCTGCATATCAAGTTAGTAGCTACTCTGTAGGAACAAAAATATTTCCTGAAATGTTGGTATATCATAAAAACAAAGAACTCACATTCAACACAATTTGGAAAACTGTTCTTCATTTGTGTCATAAATTTTTATACTTGGCCTCAAGTGTAATAAGTTTTATTCTACAACTTACCTATCCTCTAAGAGAAATAGCAAATTAGTGAAGTATGAGGGAATACACACCCTCACATTTGAAGATAAAGAGGGGCAGAGGAATTGAGTAAGAGAGCCCATGCCTATGAATAACACCATTTCTTCTCCATAGTGAAGGGTAACTATTACTAATCCTTAAACTCTAGTTGTAAATCCAACTGTATCCACATAATGTTCCGTTTTATTTTTGATTAGGAGAAAGCAGCTTCCTACAGGTTTTCTCTGACTATATGATAATTAATTTCCCAAGGCCAATACTCATTATCGAAAAAAAAAAGAAAAAGAAAAATAAGCAAGATTTTTCTAAAAGTAAGCTTCTTTTACAGTCCACATGCCAAGGAACAAAAAACATTATTGGTTTACACACATACACAATTGGCTTCACTGAGAAAAGGAACCAACAGGAGCGGCCCTTGCCCTCCCCACCAGGCCTTGCTCACCTGGCGCACCTGAGTGTCTGGAGCTGCACACATGTGCCCAAGGCAGCCTGCCCGCTGAGAAAGCCAAAGTGGACGTGGGCCACCTCGCTGCTCACAGAGAAATGCCAACAACTGGCCGAAACTTGTGAAAAAAATGATCAGGCCTTATGAAATGTCTACTCTTACTGTCTATTTCCACAAACTACTGTTATCTTCCCAAGGCAGTAACAAAGCCAACTGGCCCAGCTAATTACTTTAGATTTATTCACAAACTGATTTTTTTCAGGGAAAGGGGCTTCAATCTCAGTACTTTCTTGGGCATAGTTCCATGTTAAATTTTGAAAACATAAAGGAAGAGCAACCAGCAGATGGTGTAATGGTTATGTCATTGGACTTCCACGTAGTCAATCATGGTTCAAGTCCCAGACTGGCGGCTTCAAACTCACCCCAGGTGTGTGTGTGTGTGCGTGCGTCCATGCATGTCCAAAATCCCAAGAGGAGAATGGAGAAGGGATTGTGGTGTGGCCACACACCCCTGAGGGGGTAATTTCTCACTTTCTGTCTCTGTCTCTCTGGCAAACACATGCACCCTAGAGCAAAAATCTCTCTTTAAAAAATAATAAAGGGAGAAGACACTATAGTTATCTTAAAATATCAGATATACGGTGATCTTTCCACAAATTACTTAAATACAAAAATGTCACTTATCCCCAAAAATGTCATTATAAAAAGCAATTTTCATGGGAGGACAATTGTAAGTTAAACAGGCAAATCACAGAGGGCTATATTAAACCATTTTAAGGAAACATAATGTCATGTTAAAAAATAAAGACTATTGCTACTATAATCTTTTCCGAAAAAGTCAAAGTCCAAGCTTAAGCCTTGCCCCGAATGTATTTACCATAAAAATTAATTTTTCCCAATCCTCACAAAATTAGTAATAACAGCTTCTTTTGAAGTTTTGGTAGACTTCAAAGTTTTACCGCTTATATACCATAACTCATTAAGGCTGGAGTGAAACAGGAAAAATGTATCTGGTGCTGCCACCTAGAGGTAGAGATTTTGAACTTTAAAATGTGCAAAGTAGAGCTGCTCCATAACTCCATTTGTAATTACTGCCACCCTGAAATTAAACATTTCTGTAAGAAATGACATTAAAGTCAGACCTTTATCACACTTGCCCTACATGCATATACACTCTATAACATTAAACTGCTCACCATACAGCGAGTAACCGTATTAGTTTTGAGCAAGAGGTGTAAATTCCTTACCTCTTCTACAGAGAGCTTTATCTAAACAACTGGCTCAAATCAACAAACTTTGCAACCCTTTCAAGAAAAGGAACTTCCACGCCTACTAGACTTGCTTTTGACAAACGTGAATCATTTGGTCAGGTACAGAATAAAGGAAGGAGCAGCCAGTTTGGGCTTTGCAAAAGCAGTTACGTGAGGGAAGAACAGCTGTGGGTTACCCCGCAGTCAGCAGAGATGATGTATGCTTTAATTCAATCCTGTGACTTGTACTGTGATCTTGTCACTTGTGTGAGGACGGGGGTTGGGGAGAGAAGGGACAGTGGAATGAAATTAAAATACTGTCATTTATAATTAGAAAATTTGTAGGATCTCACATTATTTTGGCAACATGATCAAAGCTCTCATGTTTCAACAAGTATTTATAGAAAGTAACATCATAGGCATGAGTTAAGTAGCACTGTTTTACTTAAGATCACCAGTCTTATCACACCCCCCCATGTGACATTTAGCATGAAATTATCTTTTCTGCCACCGCACATTACAACCATTATAAACTATACCTGTTTTTGGAATGTTCACCTGCCCACATTCCCAAGCAGTATTGAAACCATTCATAACTCAAGACATGATTGAGAGGCTAATGAATTTGATCAAGTATTTTCCTTACTCTAAGAGACAAGGTCTCTATTAGTACAACTGGAAATAACTACAGTAAAAACAGCTGTATATATTCATGCAAGTGGGGAAGAGAGAAAAATCCCTATGAATGAAACCCAAAATGAATAAAGGGAGTACCTGGTATTCCCAAGCAGTGTGTAATATGTTGCATTTGAGCTATTAGGTAAGCTAATTCATGGAATACTATTGTGAAATTGATTTTAGGAAGTAAATCATTTCTCTTTTGCATGAATCCAGGTTTTTGTATTAACTGGACTTCTAAGAGAACAATACACATCCTGAAATTTTAAATTGTGAAAGTCTCTATCCACATAAAACCTCATACAAGAATGCTCATAGCAGGTTTATTCATAATAGCCCCAAAATAGAAACCATTAAAATGCCCATCAACAGAAGAACGAACAAAATAATATAATGCACCATGGAATACTACTGAGCAACAAAAAAGAATGATACTTGCAACAAAGTGGATGAAACTCAAAAATATTATGCTAAGTGAAAAAAGTTGAACACAGGGCTAGCCTTCTAGTGCAGTGGTTAAGCACTGTGCATTGGAAGCCAAATCCCACATGGTCCACTGCAATTCAAATCCTGGTCCAGTCAGCTGGAAAAATATACCAGGTATGTGTATTTAAAATCCCGATAAGGGACCAGCAGATGGCATGATGGTTAAGTCACTGGACTGCCATGTAGTCGAACATGGTTGGAGTCCTGAACCCAGCAACATAAAACTCATGCCGAGTGCCTGTGGGGCTGGGAGGTGGTGTGATGGTTAAGGTGCTGGACTCCCACATGGTTGACCATGGTTTGAGTCCCAGGCCTGAAGGCTTTCTTTCTTTCTCTCATCAAATTGAATAATAATAATAATAATAATAAGTGAACAAAATTAAATAAATCTTTATTTAACAAAACAAAACAAAACAAAAAAAACTCATACTGGGTGCATGTGTGTGCATGTCCAAAATCCCAAGAGGTGAATGGAGGAGAAAGGACTGCAGTGTGACCATACTCTCCAGGGCTGACTTCTTGCTTTCTGTCTCTCTGTCT